ATCCATTCACCTCCTCCATCCAATCACCTCCTCCGTCCATCCACCTCCTCCATCCAACTTTTTTTTTTTCACCTCCTCCATCCACCTCCTCCATCCATCCACCTCCTCCATCCATTCACCTCCTCCATCCAATCACCTCCACCACCCACCTCCATCCATCCACCTCCTCCTCTCTCTCTCCTCCATCCATTCACCTCCTCCATCCAATCACCTCCATCCATCCACCTTCTCCATCCATCCACTTCCATCCATCCACCTCCTCCATCCAATCACCTCCATCCATCCACCTCCATCCATCCACCTCCTCCATCCATCCACTTCCATCCATCCACCTCCTCCATCCAATCACCTCCATCCACCCACCTCCATCCATCCACCTCCTCCATCCACCTCCTCCATCCATCCACCTCCATCCATTCACCACCTCCATCCATCCATCCATCCATCCACCTCCATCCACCTCCTCCATCCATCCACCTCCTCCATCCATCCCACTCCATCCACCTCCTCCATCCATTCACCTCCTCCATCCATCCACCTCCTCCATCCATTCACCTCCTCCATCCATTCACCTCCTCCATCCATTCACCTCCTCCATCCATCCACCTCCATCCATCCACCTCCTCCATCCACCTCCTCCATCCACCTCCTCCATCCATTCACCTCCTCCATCCATTCACCTCCTCCATCCATCCACCTCCTCCATCCACCTCCTCCATCCATTCACCTCCTCCATTCACCTCCTCCATCCACCTCCTCCATCCAATCATCTCCATCCAATCTCATCCACCCATCCATCCATCATCCATCCATCCATCCATCATCCATCATCCATCCACCCACCCACCCCATGGCATTCCCTTTTGGGGTTTTTTGTGATCCCACCTGCGAGCCCCACGATGAGGATGAGCCCGATGGCGCGTCCCATCCCTGCGGAGCCGGAGCCGGAGCCGGAGCTGGAGCTGGAGCCGGAGCCGATGTGAGCCGACAGAACAAGGGGCAGGAGCAGGGACTTTGGCCCGGGTGGGGATGGAGGGGATGACGCAAGCAGTGACATAATCGGGAGCCACTTCCTGGTCCGCACCCCAATGCCTTTGGGTTGTAAATGGGTGGGAACGGGCAAGGGAAGGGAAACAGGGAATGGGATATGGGGTATGGGGTATGGGGGATATGGGGTATGGGGTATGGGGTATGGGGTATGGGATATGGGATATGGGGTATGGGGTATGGGATATGGGGTATGGGGTATGGGGTATGGGATATGGGATATGGGGTATGGGATATGGGGTATGGGATATGGGGTATGGGATATGGGATATGGGGTATGGGATATGGGATATGGGGTATGGGATATGGGGTATGGGGTATGGGGTATGGGATATGGGGTATGGGATATGGGATATGGGGTATGGGGTATGGGGTATGGATATGGGAATGGGGTATGGGATATGGGATATGGGGTAATGGGTATGGGGATATGGGGTATGGGGTGTGGGATATGGGGTATGGGATATGGGGTATGGGATAGGGGTTATGGGATATGGGGTATGGGGTATGGGATATTTGATACAAAGATAAGGGGTATGGGGAATGGGATATGGGGGATGGGGTATGGGATATGGGGTATAGGATATGGGGTATGGGGTATGGGGGTTGGGATATGGGGTATGGGGTATGGGATATGGGATATGGGGTATGGGGTATGGGATATGGGGTATGGGGTATGGGATATGGGGTATGGGGTATGGGGTATGGGGTATGGGGTATGGGATATGGGGTATGGGATATGGGGTATGGGGTATGGGGTATGGGATATGGGGTATGGGATATGGGAATGGGGTATGGGATATGGGATATGGGAATGGGGTATGGGATATGGGGTATGGGGTGTGGGATATGGGGTATGGGATATGGGTTATGGGATATGGGGTATGGGGTATGGGATATGGGATACAAAGATAAGGGGTATGGGGTATGGGATATGGGGTATGGGGGATGGGGGATGGGATATGGGGTATAAGATATGGGGTATGGGGGATGGGGGTTGGGATATGGGGTATGGGGTATGGGATATGGGGGATGGGGTATGGGGGGTATGGGATATGGGGATGGGGATGGGGTATGGGATATGGAGGATGGGATATGGGGGATGGGTTATATGATGTGTTGGGGGAGGGGGGCATCATTCCCTCCCAACACACCCAGTCAGTTGCCAGCACCTATGATAAATGCTGGGAGCAATGCAGAGATATCCCAGCTGCTCCAGCCAATGAGCCGGCTTCACTGGGAGCTGGGCTCAGGTGCCCCTATACCAGTGGCCATGGCATGGGGAGCAAACAAGAGGATTAGAGACGTGTGCTCGTCTATGGGGTATGGGATAACAGGCATCACAGAAACATGGTGGGGTGGCTCCTATGGCTGCAGTGATGGAATGGGAGCTTCCAGGCCCCATAGGCAAGGAGGGGTGGAGCCCTTTATGTTAGGGACAGGCTGGGGAGTATGGAACTGTGGGGACAGGGGAGCAGTCAATGGAGAGCTTGTGGGTCAGGGTTAACGGGAGAACAGCGATGGGAGACGTTACTGTGGGGACCCCCTGATGAAGAGGAGCCTGCGGATGAAGCCCTCTATGCTTCAAGCACCCTTTGCTTCAAGAGAGCAGAGTCTGGCCTCTTCAGGAGCCTGCTCGGTAAGGCTCCATGGGATACAGCCCTAGAGGGCAGGGGGGCCCAAGGCTGCTGGTTGGTCTCCAAGGGTGACCTGCTCCAAGCTCAGGAGCGCTGCATCCCAGCGAGAAGGAAGCGCAGCAGGAGGGCCAGGAGGCCTCCATGGGTGGATGAGGAGCTGATGAGGAAAATTCCAAGGAAAAAAGGGAAAAAATTCCAACGAAAGAAGAAAAATTGAAATGAAAAAGTGGCAGCGAGGACGGGCGAACTGGGAGGAGTACAGGGAGGCTGTGCAGGAAGCGATGGACCAGTGAGAACTGAACTTGGGTAGGGATGGTAAGGACAACAGGAAGGGATTCTACAGGGACACAGCAAATACACTAGGGAGAGCATAGGCCCCCTCAGGAAGCCCTTGGGAGAACTGGTTACACTGGACTGAGGTTCTCAATGACTCCTTCACCTCGGTCTTCCCTAGCAAAGGCTCTGAACTTGACCATGCCCAAGCCCATGGGTCCTGATGGAATCCATCCATGGGTCCTGAAGGAGCTGGGGAATGCAGTTGGTAAGACACTGGCCATCGTATTTGAAAGATCATGGCAGGGAGGTGACGTTCCCAAAGACTGGGAAAAGGGGAATATGACCCCCGTTTTTAGAAGGGGACCAGTCAGTCTCACCCCCGTGCCTGGCCACATCGTGGAGCAGATCCTCCTCAAGGCATGCCAAGGCACATGGACAACAACAAGCGTGGCTTCACCATGGGCAAACCCTGCCTGACCAATCTGGTGGCCTTCTATGGTGGGGCTATGGAGCTGATGGGCAGGGGTAGAGCAGTTGATGGCATCTAACTGGGTTTGTGTTAAGTGTTTGATGCTGTCCCACACGACATCCTTGTCTCTACATTGGAGACATCAGTTTGATGGATGGACCACTGGGTGGGTAAAGAACCGGTTGGAGGGATGCACACAAAGAGCTGTGGTCAATGGCTCAATGTCCAACTGGAGACCAGTAACGAGCGGTTCTCTTCATGGCCTTGCTGCTTGGCATTGTTTATTCCTCCCCATTCTCATCCATCCCAGGTGGCTGAACGTCATCCTTTGAAGCTAGTGCTGAATAGGGGGGAGACCCTGGAGATCCTGGGCTGCATCAACAGGAGCGTGACCAGCAGGTCGGAGGAGGTGATCCTGCCCCTTTATTCTGCTCTCGTGAGACCTCACTTGGGAGTACTGTGTGCAGTTCTGGTGTCCTCAACATAAAAAGGACATGGAGCTGTTGGAACAAGTCCAGAGGGGCCACGAGAATGATCAGGGACTGGAGCACCTCCTCTATGAAGACAGCCTGAGAAAGTTGGGGCTGTTCAGTCTGCAGCAGAGAAGGCTGCGTGGAAACCTCATAGCAGCTTCCAGTGTCTGAAGGGGGGCTATAGGGATGCTGGGGATGGACTCTTCATTAGGGACTGTAGTGACAGGACAAGGGGTAATGGGTTAAAACTTAAACAGGGGAAGTTTAGATTGGATATAAGGAGGAAATTATTTCCTGTTAGGGTGCTGCGGCACTGGAATGGGTTGCCCAAGAAGGTTGTGAATGCTCCATCCCTGGCAGTGTTCAAGGCCAGGTTGGACGAGGCCTTGGGCGAGATGGTTTAGAGCGAGGTGTCCCTGCCCATGGCAGGGGGTTGGAACTTGATGATCTTAAGGTTCTTTCCAACCCTAACTGTTCTATGATTCTATATGGGATATGGATATAGGGTATGGATATGGGGTATGGGGTATGGATATAGGGCACGGGATATGGGGACATCGGGGATGCCTTTGGCTCCCTGTGCCCCCCCCATCCCCTCCTTCCCCGTCCCCATGGCGCCCCCTGGCGGCTGCGCGCTCCCGGGCGCTCCCTTTCAGCCCCGTCCCGATGGGGCCGCGGGTTCGAATCCCGGCGCTGCCAACGCGGGGTCATCACCGGGGGGGGGAGGGTGAGGGGGGGGTGTTGGGGGGAGTCCCCCTCCCCCCACAAACGGAGCCACAGCTCAAAATCACTAAAACCTTTATTTCCAGCCCAAAATGTCCCATTCCCCCACCCCCCATTGAAGCCCGATGTAAAGGTGGGGGAGGGGCCAAGCACCCCCCCCCCGCATTGAACCCCTCAATTACCCCCCTTATGTTGTATTCCCCCCTATTACCTAACACCCCCCATAAGTTACCCCCGTTTGGAGTTATTGGGTGTCCCCAACACCCCAACATGGGGACCCCCCCTTTGACCCTCCCCTAGCCCAATATGGGGATCACCCCCCAACTTTGGGGTCACCTCCCCATTGAAGCTTACCTACAACCCAAAGCATCCCCCACCCCATTGTCACCCACCCAGCTTGGGGTGGTGACAGCAACTTATGGGTCAGCCCCATAGCCTGACGGGGGTCCCCCCACCCCGGCTCAGTTGTCCTCGTCGCTGTCGTCGGGGCTGATGGCTGGGCTGGTGAGGCTGTAGGTGGGGGACGTGGGGCTGTAGCCAGGGGATGTAGGGCTGTAGGTGGAGCCCTTGGGGCTGGTGGGGCTGTAGGTGGGGGATGTGGGGCTGTACTTGGGGCTGGTAGGGCTGTAGGTGGGGCTGGTGGGGCTGTACTTGGGGCTGGTCGGGGTGTAGACGGGGCTGGTGGGGCTGTAGGTGGGGGACGTGGGGCTGTACTTGGGGGTGGTGGGGCTGTAGGTGGGCGAGGTTGGGCTGTACTTGGGGCTGGTGGGGCTGTACTTGGGGCTGGTGGGGCTGTACTTGGGGCTGGTCGGGGTGTACTCGGGGGAGCTGGGGCTGTAGCTGGGGCTGGTCGGGGTGTACTTGGGGGAGGTGGGGCTGTAGCTGGGGCTGCTGGGGCTGTAGCTGGGGCTGCTGGGGGTGTAGGTTGGGGACTGCGGGGTGTAGCGGGGGCTGGAGGGGCTGTAGCTGGGGGAAGTGGGGCTGTAGCTGGGGGAAGTGGGGCTGTAGCTGGGGGAGGTGGGGCTGTAGTTGGGGGAAGTCGGGGTGTAGTTGGGGCTGGTGGGGCTGTAGCTGGGCGAAGTCGGGCTGTAGCTGGGAGAGGTCGGGGTGTAGTTGGGGCTGGTGGGGCTGTAGTTGGGGCTGGTAGGGCTGTAGCTGGGTGACGTCGGGCTGTAGCTGGGTGATGTGGGGCTGTAACTGGGTGAAGTTGGGCTGTAGCTGGGAGAAGTTGGGCTGTAGCTGGGCGAGGTGGGGCTGTAGCTGGGAGAAGTGGGGCTGTAGCTGGGCGAAGTCGGGCTGTAACTGGGAGAAGTGGGGCTGTAGCTGGGCGACGTCGGGCTGTAACTGGGCGACGTCGGGCTGTAGCTGGGTGACGTCGGGCTGTAACTGGGCGAAGTGGGGCTGTAGCTCGGTGACGTGGGGCTGTAGTTGGGTGACGTCGGGCTGTAGCTGGGTGAGGTTGGGCTGTAGCTTGGCGAGGTGGGGCTGTAGCTGGGGCTCTGTGGGGTGTAGCCCCCCGGTGAACGCGGCTCGTAGGCGGGTGACGTTGGGCTGTAGCTGGGTGACATGGCACCACCTGGAGAGAGAGGACAGCAGGGTTATTGGGGGGCCCAACACAGGTGTTGTGGGGGTTGCTTTACAGTGGGTTTGGGTGCTTTCGAAGCGGTTCGGGTGTTGTCAGATTTCAGGTGTGGGGTGTTGCAGATGTATTTCGGGTGTTTTTACAATGTTTTGGGGGTGTTTTTTAGAGCGTTTTTGGCATTTTGGGGTATTGTTGCAGTGTTTTGGGGTGTCTTACATTGTTTTGGGGTGGGGGTTGGGGTGTTGCCGTAGTGGTGTTGTGGTGTTTTAACATTCTTTTGCAGTGCTTTGGGGTGTTGCGCTTGTCTTTGGGGTGTTTGAGCAGTGTTTTGGGGTGGTTATTTGTGTTGTTGGGTTGGGGTGTTGTCAGAGTGTTGGGGGGTGGCTTTGCAGTGGTTCCGGTGTTGTCGGGGTGTCTGGGGTGGTTCTGCAGTGGTTTGGGTGTTGGCAGGGTGGGTTCGGGTGTTCTCAGAGTGGTGGGGGGTGGTTTTGCAGTGGTTTGGATTTTCACAGGGTGGGTTCAGGTGTTGTCGGGGTGATCCTGAAGCGGTTTGGGTGTTGGCAGGGTTGTTTCAGGTGTTGTTGGGGTGTTGGGGTGTTGGGGTGTGTTCTTAGGGTGGTTTAGGGTGTTGCCAGGGTGGTCTCGAAGTGGTTTGGGTGTTGGCAGGGTGTGTTCTTGGGGTGGTTCGGGTGTTGTTGGGGTGGTTTCGAAGTGGTTTGGGTGTTGGCAGGGTGAGTTTCGGGTGTTGTCAGTGTGTGTTTCTCGGTGTGGTCTTGAAGCGGTTTGGGTGTTGGCAGGGTGGGTTTGGGTGTTGTCGGGGTCTGTTCTTGGGGTGCTTTGGGTGTTGTTGGGGTGGTTCAGAAGTGGTTTGGGTGTTGGCAGTGTGGGTTCAGGTGTTGTCGGGGTGTGGTCTTCGGGTGGTTTTGAAGTGGTTTGGTTGTTGGCAGGGTGGGTTCGGGTGTTGTCGGGGTCTGTTCTTGGGGTGATCTTGAAGTGGTTTGGGTATTGGCAGGGTCGGTTCGGGTGTTGTCGGGGTGTGTTCTTGGGGTGCTTTGGGTGTTGTTGGGGTGGTCTTGAAGTGGTTTGGGTATTGGCAGGGTCGGTTCGGGTGTTGTCGGGGTGTGTTCTTGGGGTGCTTTGGGTGTTGTTGGGGTGGTCTTGAAGTGGTTTGGGTATTGGCAGGGTCGGTTCGGGTGTTGTCGGGGTGTGTTCTCGGGGTGGTTTGGGTGTTGCTGGGGTGGTTCTGCGGTGCTCTGGGTGTCTTTGGGCTGCTGTCAAGGTGTTGTCGCGGTGTCGCTGTGGGGCTGCACTCACCGGGGGAGGGGATGTAGGGGCTGGAGGGCCCGGGGGAGCCGGGAGAGCCGGGGGTCGGGGACCAGGCCGGGGAGTAACCGGGGCTGAAGCCGCTGGCGTCCGAGGCGGCGCTGGGGGAGAAGCCGGCGCCTCCGGGGGTCATCCCACTGCCTGCAGGGGGCAAAAACAGGGGGTCAGGACCCACAACTGCACCACCCCCCCCATAGCCCCAAGGACCCCAAACTGCCCCATGGGCAACAAATCTGCCCCAGGGACCCTCAATTGACCCCACCTCAGTCTGCCCCACAGCACCCCAATGTCTCTTCAACCATCCCACTGTACCCCAATTTATCCCCCAGCCCCCTCCCAGTGCATCCCAGTGCTCCCAGTCCCCATCACTCACCCACACTGGGGGACCAGGCCCCATAGGCGGGGGTAGCTCCTTGGTTCCAGGGTGTCATGGCTGGGGACAGGCCCCCCATGGGGCTGGGGGCAGACCCAAAGAACATTCCAGTAGCTGGGAAGAGAAGAGGAGGAGGGGATTAGAGGGGTCCCAATGGCTGGGGGGGGATCCCAACATTCCCATCCCATCCCCATCTCATTCCCGTACTCACGCCCACCCATGCCTCTTCCTGGCAGGGTGCTGGGAATCTCCATCCTCATCCCATCCCCATTCTCATTGCCAGGCCCATCCCATCCTCATCCCCATCTCCATTCTGTCTCTATCCTATCCCCACCCCATCTCCACCCTATCCCCATCCCATCTCTATCCTACGTCCATCCTGTCCCCACCCCGTCCATCCTGTCCCCACCCCATCTCCATCCCATCCCCACCCCATCTCCATCCTATCCCCATCCCATCTCTGCCCTATCTCCATCATATCTCTGTCCTATGTCCATCCTATCTCCATCCTATTCCATCCCATCCCCAGCCCATCTCCATTCTATCCACCCTCCATTTCTACCCTATCCCCATCCTATGAGCACCCCATCTCCATCTGTCTCCCATCTCCACCCCCATCCCTCTCCCATCTTCACCCTGTCGCCATCCCATCCTCCACCCCATCTCCATCCCATCCCCATCCCATCTCCATCCCATTTCAATGCTATTTCAATCCTATCCCCATCCCATCTCTGCCCTCTCTCCATCATATATCCCACATCCATCCTATCCCATCCCATCTTCGCATCTCCATCCTAACCCCATCCCTTCTCCGTCCCATCCCCACCCCATCTCCATTCTATCCACACTCCATCTCTACCCTATCCCCATCCTACGAGCATCCCATCTCCATCCCTCTCCCATCTCCACCCCATCTACATTTTACCTCCATCCTATCCCTGTCCCAAATCCATCCCATCCCCACCCTAACCCCATCTCATCTCCATCCCGTTTCCATTCTATCCACACCCCATCTCTATCCTATCCCCAGCCTAGGAGCATCCCATCTTCATCCCTCTCCCATCTCCACCCCCATCCCTCTCCCATCTCCATCCCATCCCCACCCCATGTCTATTCCATCTCCATCCTAACCCCATCCCATCCCCATCCCATCCCCATCCTAACCCCATCCCATCTCCATCCTAACTCCATCCCATCCCCACCCCATCTCCATCCCATCCCCATCTTAACCCCATCCCATCTCCATCCCAACCACATGCCATCCCCATCCTAAACCCATCCCATCTCTAGCCTAACTCCATCCCCATCCCAATCCTAACCCCATCCCATCTTCACCCCATCTCCATTTTACCTCCATCCTATCCCTATCCCATCCCCACCTGATCCCCACCCTAACCCCATCCCATCCCCACCCTATCTCCATTCTATCCACGCCCCATCTCTATCCTAACCCCATCCTAGGAGCATCCCATCTCCATCCCTCTCCCATCTCCATCCCATCTCTATCCCATCCCATCTCCATCCTAACCCCATCCCATCCCCATCCCATCTCTATCCCATCTCTCTCCCATCCCCATCCCATCTCCATCCTAACCCCATCCCATCCCCATCCCATCTCTATCCCATCCCCATCCCCTCCCCACCGCACCCCGTCCCCGCACTCACGCCCCCCCATGCCCATCCCGGGCAGGGTGCTGGGGATCTCCATGCCGTGCTTGCACTTCTCAGCGTCCAGGAGGAGGTCGAAGCAGCCGGTGCCGGCGGGCGCCAGCTGCCCCAGCATGATGTTCTCCGACACCCCCTTCATGGGGTCGCTCTCGCCGTGCGCCGCCGCCTCCATCAGCACGTCCACCTGCGGGCGCGCAGCACGCGTCAGCATAGAACACACACAGATCGGCCCAAAACACACCCAAAGCAGCCCAAAACAGACCCAAATCGGCCCAAAACAGACCCACATCAGCCCAAAACAGACCCAAAGCAGCTAGCAATACGTAATCTCTAACCAAAGGCCAAAA